GGGGGGGGGGGGGGGGGGTGTTGCTGCACATTTTGGGCTTAACAGCACTTCAACTTCAACCAAATCCTACAATAGTGTTAAACTGGGTTACCTGAGTACTCAATTGGGTTTCCATTTTTGAAAAATTTCAAAGTTGGATATCCTCTGACTTGGAATTTTTCAGCCAGTTCAGATTCAACAGTTGCGTCAACCTTGCCAAGTTTGACGTTTGAGCCATCTGATTTCAGTGCCCCTGCAGCTTTAGCATATTCTGGAGCCAAAGCTTTGCAGTGTCCGCACCATGGAGCATCTGAAACAAAGACCAAAAAAAATCAAATGACAAAAATGTTAACTTCCTAATAACCATGTATCTCATCACAGCAACACAGCAAGTCAAGCTGCCTATTTTATATCTCACTGCACTCAAGAAACAAAGGCAGCAGCCTTTAAAAATTTAGCACTGAAGGGGAAGTCATGGAAGCAAACATTACGGTGCCAGTCCACTTAATAATAGTCTACCACGATTGCGGTCTACCGTAAAAATGCGTTCCATCATAAGGCGTGCACAAGGTTATTTTATAACTATCACTCCAGCGTGCACAAGGTTATTTTATAACTATCACTCCCCACATTCTGATGCACTACTTTCAAGCCAGGCCCCAGAACAACTAACCTCCCCTCAACACAAAACCCCAAACATTTTTAGATGACCAAACCTGAATAAAAACAGAGGGGAAATGTTTAGTATTGTGGATTGTACTAGACTTGTAGAAAAGTGGAATAGTTGTCAGACTGGTCCAGTGGTAGACCAAGTGAAACTAACCGGTAGACCATTAAGTACAATGACTGTCCTAAATTTGTAAAACCCGCTTGCACAAGATTTAAAATTAAAGAGGTTTTACAGCACTCACAACTTGACAAGATTAAATTTAAGGTAAAAAAATGATTCCCAACAAAAACGTGGCTGCACAAAATCTGACATCAAACTACCAAATTTTACAGTTCCCATCTCAGCCATCTGTCTCACCAAGTGATTTATAATATATTCCAAACAAGCCAACAAGGCCAGGAAAAAAAGATTAACTTAATACAATCTAATTTCTGAACATTTTGACTGCAACTGTGTATGACAACTTGGCATTAACCTAAATATCCAGTCACGGTAAACTAAGACTAAGACAAAAGTGGGATTCTGAAATTTTATATATATATATATATATATATATATACATACATACATACATACATACATGCATACATAATG